AAGGACACTAGACAGTAACTAGAAGCTGTATGAAAAAAATAAAGATCTCAGTAGAGCTAAATATATTAATATTACTAAAACATCAGTAATAAAAGTGATATACAGATTCACTGCAATTCACATCAAAATCTCAGTGAGAGGCTCGGCTCCTATAGCTCAACCGGCTGAGGCGCCAGCCACCTACACCTAAGGTAGCGGGTTCAAATCCCCAGCCCAGACCCGCCAAACAACAATGACGGCTGCAACCAAAAAATAGCCGGGCGTTGTGGCGGGTGCCTGTGGTCCCAGCTACTTGGGAGGCTGATGCAGGAGACTCGCTTGAGTCCAGGAGTTGGAGGTTGCTGTGAGCAGTGAAGCCATTGCACTCTACCCAGGGGGATAGCTTGAGGCTCTGTCACAAAAAAAAAAAAAAAATCTCAGTGAGATATTTTGTGGAATGGAAAAGCCCATCCTAAAACTTCTGTGGAATCTCAAGGGACCTGTACCCCAATGGCCAAAACAATCTTGAAAAAGAAGAGTGAAGCTAAAGGACTCACACTTTGATTTCAACTTAAACATAGACGTATAGTAGTCAAAGCAATCTGGTACCAGCATAAAGATACACACAGACCAATGGGATAGAATTTAGAGCTTAGTGATAAACCTTCACCTATATGGTCAAATGATTTTTACAAGAGTACCAAGACCATTCAATGAGGAAAGGATAGTCTTCAACAGTGGCATTAGAAAAACTGGATATCCACATGTGAAATGATGAAGTTAGACCCTTACCTAACACTACATGCCAAAATTAACTCGTGGGTCTATGACCTAAAAACTACAACTCGTAGAAGAAAAAAAAATTTTTTTTTTTTTTTAGAGACAGCAGTCTCACTCTATCACCCTCAGTAGAGTGCCGTGGCATCACATAGCTCACAGCAACCTCTAAGTCCTGGGCTTAAGTGATTCTCTTGCCTCAGCCTCCCGAGTAGCTGGGACTGCAGGTGCCTGCCACAATGCCCAGCTAGTTGCAGTTTGGCCAGGACCATGTGCAAACCTGCCACCCTCAGTATATGGGGCCAGCGCCCTACCCACTAAGGCACAGGCACCACCCCAGAAGAAAAACTTAAGACGTTAGATATGGCAGTGGATTTCTTGGATATGATACCAAAGGCACAACAGCAAAAGAAAAAATAGACAAATTAGTCTTCATATAAATTTTTTAAATGTGTGTGTCAAAAGATAATAGTAAAAACCCACAAAATGGGAGAAAATGTTTGTAAATCATATCTAATAGTGGATTGATACCTAGAATATACAGAGAACTCCTCAAATTCAATCATTAACCAAAAAACCATTTTGATTCAAAAAGAGGTAAAGATCTTGAATAGACATTTCTCCAAAGTTATACAGATAACAAATAAAACATGAAAAGACGCTCAGTATCACTACTCCTTAGGAAAATGTAAATCAGAACTACAGTGAGGTATACCATCTCAAACCTATTGTGATGGCTAGAATGGAAAAAGCCAGAAAATTACAAGTGTTGGAGAAAAGGATATGGAGAAATTGGAACCCTTGTGCACTGTTGGTGGCAATGAAAAATGTTATAGTTGTTATGGAAAACAGTATGCTGATTCCTCAAAAAAATTAAAAGTAAAATTACCATATGATATAGCAATTCTGCTTCTGGGAATATACCCAAAAGAATTGAAAACAAGGTCTTGAGATATTTGTATGGCCATTTTTTT